TTATCAGTTTACAACTTTAGCCTCACAGTCCTCTTTCCAAACTCACTGAGTTCTTTGTAACTTTTTGATTGAGATCGACCTGGATTGCACAGCCATTCCCACCATTCCCTGTGCAGCACTGCTGCTGTGGGAGCCAGCAGAAGTGTAAGGGCTGTGCAGACCAGCCTTTTGCATTATTCCTCATCAGTGAATGTGAGTATTTATTACCTTCATGGAAAGATTTTGAGGAGTTTGCTTTCCCTTCTTAGCTAAGGACTAGCTGTGGCCTTCAGCAGGGCTTCCAGTATCACCAAGTGGAAGCAAAGTAAACCAGGAAAAGTTCATCCTATATTTAAATAGCTATGAAGTAAGCAAAACCAATGAAATTTTGCACTCAATTATACAGGAAAAATTGTCATTCATACTTAAATTGGTCTCTGTACTTTCAGGGCATGGACTTACTTGCCCAGGTTGCTTTGTTTTGGTCTCACTAATTGCGGCACAAGACTGACCTCAGCTCCAGGTTTCTGGTCCCACATCAGTTTGTCTGAGAATTATAGAGACACTTCCATTCAGCCTTTTGTCTTCCACAGTCCCACCAGCAGGATTTTTACACAGGTTTTCTTTATGTTCCACCATTAGCTGTAGTAGGGCTCTTCACATGAAGCATGGGAATCCTACATATCCAGGTGCATGGGCTGGCTCTCAGATGCCAGTTTGTCTGCAGTGAACTTATCCCAGACTTGCTGGGAATGAGAATAATGGCCAGAGGTTTCCCACAACTTTTCAGTGACATCTCACTGGCTGTAAAAGTCACTCAGTTTCAAAATTACTATTTTGAAATATCTTTCCCTCTGCTTTTCAACATATCCCTACTCTTCCCACAGCCTGGAAGAAGGTAAGGAAGTACTTGCCTCTGTGCCATGGAAAAACATGGAAAATACAAAAGTGACAGATAAAAGCTGTACTCTCAAAATGAGTGTGAAACAGCCTAAAACAATATATGAATCTGTGGCCAGAATGGACAGAGGAAAATATCCCAGAAAGCCACAAAAGAAATTATTCAGTCAACTGAGAAATAGTGGAACTTGTGAGCTTTAACACCAGCATTGTTGCAGCCTGACAGAGCCTGAGTTAGATCTGAAGGAGGACCCAAGAAAGGATTATTATTCTCCCTCCACCTGTATGGAGGGTGACTCTATCCAGCCATACCTACAAAGATGAACTGTTCTGATGCAGACAGCTCCAGTAGCTTCTCTTGAATTCATTCTAAAGGACAGACTAAAGGACAGACACACCAGAAAGTAAATATTTGTTCTGGTGGTGAGCTGCATTCAAGTGCTGAATTTAGGTCATGGAGCATATGCTTGACTGACCAAAATCGTGCACTGTGGGTACCTCACATAGTTTAGAGCAGGCTTATTCTGATTTGCCATTCTTATGCCATTCTGATTTGCCAAACTTTATTGTTCCCTTTATTTCATGGATATCCTAATGCTTTTTGGGTGGCACTTTTCTCTGTGGCATTCTCTAGTGTACAGATTAGGAGTGTTTCACATAGCTGCTCTTCAGATTCTGAAACACATAGAGCCTTTATCTTTGAGAAAAGTTTGCTAACTTCAGTGAGTCTTTTCATTACTGTTTCTAAAGACTTAGAACAATCTCTTTCACGATACATTTTTCACTAACATACCAAGTTCCTAGAGTGGGATCAATCTTTAATCTTTATCATTAATGTTCCTAGTAACCTGAAGATTTATTTTTAAATACTGCAAGCTGCATTTTCCCTGGATGCAAGGACAGGACTTCTTTTAATTCACAATGCACATGTGTATGTCTGGCTTGTTGATGCTTTGCATGTTGATATAAAAGCCATAATACTTCTCCAGTTTCTTAGACAGGACTCATATTCTTCCCTTCTGTTACGCATACATCTTCAAGGTCATTTGTTCTTAAAACTAATGTACAAAGCAGATACAATTCAAGAAAGTGGGAGGAGGCTTTGATTTCACAGGAGGCACAGTGGGCAGGCTGGATTCTTTAGGCAGCAAAGTCAGCTGCCTAAAGAATCCAGCTTTTTTCATGGTCACTTTTTCATGGGGAGAGCACCGGTAATTGCCATTCACGATCTCCTCTCTCTCCATATAATTAAAAAACAGTAAAGCACAAGCAAACAGCAATACAGTGCTGCTAAACTGTTGGCAACCAGAAAGTATCTGTAACTTGCACGTTGAAGACATGGCCCAGGAAATCCCACCAAAGGTGACCCCCATGGAGCAGCCCAAGTTCAAGCAGGATCTTTACACTGAGCTAAGTGAATGCCCAATGTTCTGTTCTTGGAACCAGAGTTGTTAAGAAGTGCTACAAAACAAGTAAAAACACTCTGCATCTCGGTTTTTCAAGCTGATCTTTCTCCTAAGAGGATGAAAGTTTGGCAAGAGAATAATACGTATTGTTTAGTCAAATTGCCTGATAAAGGCAATACAGTTTAGAGATATGTATCTGTATCCAAAGTCTATATCTAGGCACCTGTGAACGCACTGTAGGACTTTCCAAAACTCAAATACACACAGTTCCTATTAAGCATTAGATACAGCAGATGCTCACTATCATTTCCTGAAGTCTTTTTCCTGAAGCTTGTAAAGATTATCATCCTTATCAGTTTTAGGATTTTTTATGCTGTGTACTGTAGCTCAGGATGGAAGAAAGTGAATTTCCTAAGTGGAATAATATTTTTGTTTTTATCAGGACTATAGCTAATTTATGATTACAACTGCAAGGATCATTGAAACATGCACAACTATGCCTGAATGGTCTTCATATTTAGGTGTCTGATGTTTCATTTAACTCCCCTGAGTTCAAGCTATAAATTTGGAAAGTCCATAAATTTCCTGTATCTACAATTCAGTGCAGGCTACATAATGATCAAGACATTGTATCAAATTTTCCCAGCACCAAAAGAGAAGAGATGAAATGTAGTGACTAGTCTAAGATAAAACTAGTTGGATCAGACATAGTTAACTTGAATTGCTAGTGAAGATCTATTTTAAACTTAAGATTAACAAGTTTGTGTTGCCGCAGGCATCATACTCTCAGACTGGTTAACACCAGTTGCTCTCCCGGACATGCTCTCCAGATTAACCAGGCATGAAGTAACAGAACCTAAATATAGGTTTCTATTTTTGTTAGAAGGCGTTATCCTTACCAGGTAAAATTTCTCATTCTTTCTCTTAGTAGCATATATAGTTTTTATACAGTCACTTCCTTTAAAGCAGAGGCAAAGCAGCTATAGAGTGATCATTGATAAGTATTTGAGACTGGCAAATAAAAGTATATGGAACCATCAAAGGGAATTTGGTGCAATTGTTTTAGTAGCTCTTCTTAATGATGTTGAAGTCTTTCTAATGCATTTAAGTATGTGGTGTTTATAAAAGTATGACTTAAATCATTGCTCATGCAAATGCTGTTAGCTGTCAGGGAGTGCTAGTCTGGGAGATGTACCTTGGCTTCAGTCTCCACTATCAGCTTTTCTGGTTTGTTTATTGTTTCTTTTTTCTATCTCCCTGTGGATCTGAATTATTTTTTAAGCAAACATTTGTGCATTTGTGTATAATTCAGAATATTCTGGAGACTTTTTTATTTTTTTATTTTGTGGAGGGGAAAAAAGAACAAAAACTTTCAAATGTGTCAGTTTCTGTGGTGTTCTGTGGTGTAGTTGCTCATTTTCATTTTTTTCCCCCTCAGGGTTTTATTTAGGAGAAGGTAAGAAGAAAGGTCCTTTAAGCTTTAGCAGGAAATACCCATGTTTTACCAGCTCCTGCAGTCTTGGCTCAGTAAGGCACCTCATTACCAGTGCCAGGTCACCATGCCCAAGGAATCTCACACCACTGGAAGGAGTCCCAAATACTCTTGTCCAAACACTCCCCTAGCTCAGCTTTGTATCATCCACACAAAGAAGCCCTAACATCAGATTAACTGGCCTCCAGATGACCCCCAGCTTGTGGTGACCCTTGGTACTGAGAAAAATCAATTTGACAACTGCCATGGCACCTCGGTGGACCAAAGTAGCTGGGTTACTGGGAAAATCTCTCTCAGTAATTAGAGAAATTCTTCAGCATCTCTAATGACCAGGACAGAACATTTAGGGGAAGACTAGGAAGAGGGTGAACACCCAGGTCAGAGGGCATAAAAGCCGCCTAAGTGCTTCCTCATTAAAGTGATGAGCAGCACCACAGGTCTCTGTGGCTATATATTTGTGTTAATGCATTGAAACCTAATTTTTTTTCACTGCATGGTACTTCACATTTGCTGTTGGATTAATGACTGACCTGCTTGTAAATGAGTTGGGCAATTTTTTGTTCCCACCTGTGCTTAAAAAAAAGAGTGATTCTGGGAGGGAAAGCCAACTCCTGCAGAATAGAGAAAATAATCTAATAAAGGAAGGGAATTTAGATAAAACCAATCAGTGGGAATCACTTCTAAGTTAGTTGCTGTTATTTGTATTTTCTTGACATTTACAGCTTCAAGACCTGTAGGGTCAGTATTCAAGATTTTTACACCCGTGATAAATATGCCTCCAGAATTAACACATCCCACTTCATTTGTATGTTGACAAAACTTAGAAATACTTTGTTTTACAAGGTATTAATACAAATGTTGCTTGCAAAGCAAGAATCTGACCCAAAAGAAAAGAATCTTATGTTCTCCAGAGGAATTTGAGTCAAACCTAAAATGCATTTGTATTGAAAATTGTGTGCAGATTTGTCCCAGGTGTGCAGATTTGTTTCTAAAGGTATCTCTTAAAACCATCCAAGGCACTATTTCATATCTAGTTCATTTGGGTAATATGAAATGCAAGAAGGGATTAATCAGTCTTCTAAGATATGTGACATAGAGTTCTTTATTTACATGTTAGACATAAAAAGTGCCAGTTTGTTTAATACAGGTTTGAATTAAATTTTTATTTTATTTTATTTTTTATAAGTGAACTTCCTGCTGGTGAACTGCATCTGATGAAGGACACAGAGCTCTTTCCATGCTGGTTCTGCTCGCTCAAACCCTGTTAGCAAGTCTTGCATGGTGACAGCTGGGTATGGCATTGATGTGACAAACTCTCTTTATCCACAGGAATCTCTTGTCTTTCATTTCTTCTGCATAACCTAAAAATCCAGAAGGCATTTGAGTCTCTGACTCACATTTGAAAATAAGTGTATAAAGAGCACAGGTAAATTTTTCAAGGAATATTTTCCCATTTTCATGGGTGATTCAGAGCTAAATAACCAAGGAATGCAAGTTGTGCTTTTACTGATATGTAGAGTGGATGACCATAAGGCAACCATCAAGCTGGGACACATGGGTCTTCTGCCTCAATTCTCTCTTCAGAGTTTGTCAGGTCTTCTCCTGGATGCCAGATATTAAACCCTAGTGCTGCTTTTCCTAGGCTTGTGATACCTGCTAGTGCAGCCCTAGATGTCACCTTTCTTTATTTCTGTTTCCCTCAAATCCCTCTTTCTTTGCTGAGGGGTATGTTGAGCTCAGGAGAGGAGAATCATTACCAGAACTACAGTTACTCCAGATTTCAGTGGACTCCCATTCTTGTGAACTCTGGTAAGGAATCTATCTTAGTCCAGGATTTGTACTTTTTCCCTTTCTCTACCAGCATCTTCAAAACTGTAAAGAGCAGTTTTGCCCTCTTCTTTCTGCCTGTGAGTCAGCACATGGTGGGGTACTTCAGGCTGGGGTTCCCTCCCATCCTGTCCTTGCAGCTATTTGACACTGAATTGTGTAGGTGCATGTTCCTTTGTCCAAAGAGAAGGACTACTGTTCTGTGGCTGCCCCATTCTTAAGTGTTCTTTACACTGTAAAAGTAGACATACCAATTCTGAGGAGAAATGCTTCAAAATTCTCCATTATCACATCATACAGCCAGCATTTAGGGGCTGTGAGGAATACCCTTGGGGCCTGCATGGCCCCAACCACACCGAGCACTTTGGAAATTTCCACTTGGTTTGTAAGAATCTTCATTCCTGCCTTCATCCAGCTCCAGCTCCCAAGTCTGGAGGCAAAGGTCAGAATACATGGCCAGAACATTTACTGGCACAATGGATGGGTTTTACAAGGTCTGTGCTGAGGACTTTCAACAAAGTACTGGCCCATAAAGAACTGTATACTTACAGTATGTAAAATTCGCCATCTCAGAGTATTTTGCCATCTCAGAGTATTTTGCCATCTCAGAGTATTTTGCTGCCTAGGTAAGAGCATGATAAAACACATTGTTTACTTTTATGGTCAATAAAGTAAAGCCTGTTCTCAAATGCAGAGCTCTTAAGTGGCTGTCCATTGCTAACATGAGACTTTAGACAGATTTTATCCTTCTGACGTCCAGTGGAACAAATATCCTGTAGTTTGCAGATAAGGATCACTCCAGGCTCAGTTTCAGTTTGACACAGTTGTTTCAAAATTCACCCTGGGTATATTTTTTCCCTTCAACTTTATCTAAAAAACTAATCAGCCTGGCTAATGAATTAAAGGGGTCAGAGGAATCAATGGTCCTTATTTGCATTAATTTAAATTAATACATACCTGTTTTATTGAATAAGGAGAGACAGGTCTGGTGTTCATAAATTACTGATAGAGAATAAACATAATTCAGTAAAAATATTCTGGTTCTCTTGTTATAAACATACACTGAAAATATAAGTATTTTTAAAATTAAAACAACTTATCACGTGAAAGTGATCTCTGGACAGGTAAATGGTGCAATTGAAAGGAAGGATGATTGAATAGCTGAGCTCCTGCTGTTAGACTTAGGAGGTCTGGACTCAGTGCTCCCTGAACTGACTCCCTGAATGGCTCTGGGAGTTCTTTGGATCTCTGGTGCTTCAATTCCCCATTCATGAATTTTCTTTCTTGGAGCAGTAAGGTGAAAATGAATACCTGAGAAGCTAAGGATGTCAGATTTTCAGTTGTGCAATATGGTAAGAATAGAAGACCAATACAAAAGAAAAAGGTCAGTCTCTTCTGAATGGATTAAAGAAATGTAGTGGGAAAACTGGAAGGGCTGACAATGCTCTTCTGTCAAAGTCCCTCTTGTTTTCCCATGATATGCTAAGCTAGCTCTGTAATATGAAAGGCTGTAAGAAGCCTTATTTGAAAGGACAAGGTTTGTTTCCAAAACTGTACAGTCCTTAATCATTCTTGAGACCTATGGAAAATTGCACTGCATTCTTCTGGAAATTATTATATGTATTTAAGGTAATGAACTTACTTGACTGACTGCAGGATGCAGAGTCCAAAAGACTCATGACCATTCCTGTAATATTTGCTCAGAAAAAAAACACTCTGAATTTATGTCCCACTTCTGCTGAAGCATATCTGCTTTTCATTGCAAGGACGGGATATCAGTTGGCAGGACTATTAGAATCACTGAGATGGCTCAGATGGGAAACAAAACGTTTCTGAGCAAGTTTCCTCTATGCAGAAGTAATGGAAGTTCAATGCCACACAGTTCAGTGCCATGCAAAGAAACCTGACCCATTCCTGTGGCTCCAGCTGGGACCGGGGGAGCTGGGTAAGCGGTGGCAGCCAGTGTGAAGTGCTGCACTAGCATGGCCCCACTGAGGCAAAATGGGGTCATTTGCAGTAACTACTAAAGGTGAAATATTTTATGCAACCAACCCCTTTTAGTTCCTGAATAGTTATGAAAATTAACTCAGATTTTCTGTGGTAATCTTTTATTGAAAATTACTTTATATAAGCCCCATAGTAACTCTTAGGTGTCTTATTTCTTGTATAAACTTCCTCAACCACTAGACAGGGAAAATGTTTGTTCCCCTCTTCCATGCCAAAATGAATGGCTTTTATGGCAGGGAGGAGATGCCTTTTTTGCAGGTCACAAAGAAGCGTAGACAGGGCCCTCTCATGCTCCGAGTTCAACCCTGTTAGGGCAAAAGCAGAAGCTAAATGCAGATCTTTGCATCTCAGGCAGCTGCAGACACCAACAGGGAAAGCAGATCCCCATCAAAGGTTTGAATGAAAGGGTTGTGTCATAATTGGTTTAGAAAAGAAACAAACTTCAGCAAGATTCACAAGCACTGTGGCACCAGTTCAGCATTAATGAGCACCCAGTGTAACTCCTGCAGTCAGGAGAAGATTGCCTGGTATGACACCAATTCCTGAAACACCACCTCCATCTCCCTGAGGACCTCAGTGCTTACCTGTATGGGAGGAGATTTTTAGCTAACATTTGCCAAAAGGGATGATTTTAAGACACCTCTTTGGGGCTTTTCTGCTTTGCTGACTTAGGAAGCTTTCCCCTGGGTTACCAGTTTTGCCTAGCTCTTTAGAAATGTTGTTCTATTTCCAGCCTGTGTAAGCCAGGCAAGCTCCCTCTCACGACCTTACTTTGGAGGGCTAGAGGACAACTGTCTAAGATTCCTTGTGTTTCTAGCCCTTTGTTGGTATTCATAACAATAGTTCAAAACTGAAGGCATTCAAATCTTTTCTGTCTATAGAGAAAGAAATGAAACAAATATTTAACTTAACAGCAGGGCAGGAAGGAATGTTCCACAGAGCTCCATGATGTTCCTACTGACTTTCTCTGTGCATCATGCTTCTGAATTTCTTCCCTTTTATTTGGTGAAAATATAAGGACAAAACTCCTCAAGCTCTTTTTATCTCTGCAACAAGTTCTGGTTTTAACAGGAGTAGTTTTCGGGGTACTAGAGAAAGAAGAGGGAACATTGGACCCTGGGGACACATTTCCATAGAGTAATGCTATTGAGCTGCTTGATTTGTGCACAACATTCTGCCTGGGGATTAAAGCTAGGAAGGCATTTGGAAAAATACCTGCTAATTCAAGTTATTTGGTTGAAGTGTGCTCACAGAGCACCCATTTGTGTTTATAACTGCTCTGTGCAGATTTTTGGCAGATGTTGGGCTGTTAGCCTGAAATATGGCCCTTTGTTTTCCTTAATGATCAAGAGCTGTTAATACCATGCTGTATTTCTGATGTCTTTTTGTTGGTCAGTACTCTCTGCCCTCTTTGATCCAGCAGAAACAGGAGTGGAAGCAGTGATAGCAGACCATTGCAACTCCCACTCGTCTGATGTTACAGGCTGGAAAAGTGAGAAGATGTCTAGGAGGAAGAGCCATTTTCTTTTAATCAATTATTAACTGGTAGATCACTCCAGCTAATCTTTGCTCAGCTGAGTGAACCTTGTGAGCAGTTTTTTGAGCAGACCAGGCTTAGCTGAAACCAAGTGCTAGAAAAAAAATATTCTGGGGAAACCTATTGAAAAGTTTAGGCAGATTATAAACTCTGGAGAAAATGAGAGCATGCCTACTTATAGACATATTCTCATACTAGGCATCATAAAGCTCTTTAGAAACCTAGAAACACACACAGTGTGTGACAACTGTGTTGCTTTACCCCTAGAAACAATAAGTGAATGGAAGGGGCCTTTCTATTATCCCACATGGCAGCACTGCAGTGAAGTGTAGCACTGCACCCTATCTAGTAGCAGGTTATGTTGGCCAAATATAACTACCTAGAACCAGCTTGGCACAGTGTTGTTACTAGGGCAGCTATTTTTACTGGGAGTGATATAACACCTGTAGCTAGTAGATGTTGTCAAAACACTGGTGATGTCTTCATCACCACAATACCCCTTAAAATTGAGAGGTGCACAGATGCAGTGCAGAAATAAAGCCGCCATTTAAACTCTTTTTTTTTCCCTGGGAAAAAAATGCAAAGCTACTAATTTATTTTTAATTTTTCCTCACGATAAACACTAATTTTCCTCACAATGAACACTAATAGTTAATATGATAAAAAGAAATATACCTCCAGTTTTGCAGTCACACAAGCTAAGTATTCTGATAAAGGTCACAAAAAGGTGCATATCATTTAAAGAAATAGGGTCAAAGTTTTGGATTTGCAATGACATTGGAAGTAAAGCCAGCATGATCCAGATTATGGTACATCATAGTAAGCACCCAAGTTAACCTGCTGGAAAAAGTAATTACTGTAAGTTTTCTGTTTAGAACTGATATATGTTCTCTACCTCTGATTCATGGTTGACGAGACACACAAACCTTTTAACACCAGGAAGACTTTTTATGGCTCTGCAATTGTAGCTTTCTTGGAAGAAGCCCTCTGGGACCTCAGATTACCAGTCATATTGCAACAGTGTGCTAGATTTTAAATGGGGACCTGAAGTAAACAAAGACCAAACATTTTTTAGAAGTGATTAAATGTTCTCAGAACACTAGTTTCTTAAAAAAAATGCACCTGTGTATAATTGTTATAGTTGTCTTCAAACGAGAACTTACTCTAAGCCATGGAGGTGTATTGATAATGAATAGCAAATTAATCAAAACATTCTTCTGATAATGTGTTTTTCTTCAACTTACATAAGCATTACTTTCAGCAAAGAATTTGTAAATGAGTTTCCTGCCACAGGAGGACTTACTTAACAGAAAAAAATTGAACGATCCGCAGAGAGAACTATGTGAGGGTATAATACTTCTAAATAATCAGTTATTCAGATGCAGTCCTCAGAGCAGCTCCGTGTGAGCTGTCACTTCTATACATTAAAAAAAAAAAGCTTTTTATTTACTTTAATGCACTATTTTGGATCAGAAGACTGTTTTGAAACAAATGTCTCTGCTCACGCTTTGGTTCCTGTCATATATTTGAAACTTGAACTGGATTCCTTTTGCATGAAACTAAAGGGAAAATGTTCTCTAGCAGTGTAGCTAATGCATTGCAAGCACAAACAGGTCTTCAGTCTGTGAGACTGGACTAGAGCTGCTCTGAAGAAAATGGTAAAACAAAACCCAGTGAGAGTTACTGTGTGGATGTTGGGTTCTCAGACTCTTTCCTTGTATAAATCTACTCCTACTGATCCACACAATTAAATAATACAGATGGAGTTTGTATCATCAGTTCTTGCTGAACCAAACTAACAAAGCTGCTCTTTGGTTTTGTGTGTCACTTTCCAAGTTTTCTTCTAATCCTGTCATTTTCTAGACCATTCCTATGTATAATCAACAGTCTTGCTTTATGAAATGCGAAGGATAACATTTGGCAAGTTCACTGAAGTAAAAAAGGTTGCAAAGGTCTCACTGCAGACTTTTGAAATGCCATGGAGTTCATACACGCAGCTTTATTTGACCTTGGCTGCATTATTAATGCAAGTAAGAATAACATTTTTACCTTTGTACTGATCCCCTGCTGAGTTCTCT